CAGGATGTTTTTTGTGCAATATTGACAAATTAATTCAATTTCTATCAAAATGTAGATAATCGATTCTTTTTTTTAATTAATTCTTCTTTTAATTAATTTTACAAATGTACAATTTTTTAAATAAATGAAGTTTTGTAATTCGCTTTAAGTATTTTTCGTTTGCAAAATTTTAATTTAACGTTACACTTAAAATTTAAAATTAAATTTCAATAAAGACCGGGAAGAACTCTCGGTCTTGAGATACGAAATCAATTTCAGATTGATTGAACATAATTTTAATCTAAAATTTGTCATTGTAATTCAAGAATATTTTGCACACGCGTGTTCGAATATTTTTCCTGCATCCATTCGACGCGGTAAATACCGAATGCGTCCCGTAATGTGCCAGCCGGAAGGTATCACGTACGTGCACTTGCTGTACACACGCTTGAATATGAAGTGATAAATTTTCATCGCACGTCTACGTTGAAACACGAGCAAATCGAGAGTGGCTACCGCCGGAAGATGCCAAACTTCACATTTGTTCTCATCAAATACACTTGCGTTACATTTGCACGCATTTATCTATTTACACATTTTTGATAAAATATAAAATCAACGGGATCAACTTTTTTGCTTTTCGACAATGTCATTGATATTTTTATAATATTTTTATAATATTTTATAATATTATATATATTTTATAATATCATATATATTTTATAATATCATTGATATTTTTATAATATTTTATAATATATAAGTAATATTTATAAAAATTAATGAGAGATAAATTAGAAATAAGACATACTTGATCTACTTGGCTACTTAAAGATCTTTGAATAATTTTTTAAATAATTCTGATCCTTTTTAATTTTTAATTTCTGAACATTCATTTCTATTAAAGATTTTAATAAGATTTGTATACAAAGATGTTTCGATTTGTTCGTCCTTCCAGCAGCATTATCACGAGACGTACACTTGTGGTATTATACCAGCATTATTATCATTATTTTAATGATTTCACTACAGTTTTTAACGAATGCTAGAGTGCTGTAAGATATACGGCTTTACAAGGTCATGCGCATCTTTTTCGCATAATCATGTACATTTTATAACTAAAAAGCCAGAATCACATATAGTGCAAATTGCAGGATTTCGCACAGTTTTTATTCTGTCCGTACAGCTGTGCAATTTTATCCATCACAGCTTTTATTTTCAAAACGCTAGAACGAAATAACATTGTTGTATGCTAGTAATACTTGGAATTCTAATGATTCTCAGAGTATTCTCTTACGAGGCTTGTTTGCAAGAAGCACACAATCCGAATTGTACAACATATTTAGCATATTTAATAAAAAAAAAAAATTAGATACCTTTGATGAAACGATTTCATTTGTAAAAATTAACAAACTATAAATATAATTATTAATCGCGCATAAAATTGCGCAACTCGCAATACCGTCGAGGTGAAAAACTGCCGAAATCCTGGACGTATTTAATCCGGGCATCCGGATCTTCTTCGATTTTTATGTAAAAAACGAATGCATGCGACGAACGCACACACTCTAGTATTCAGACTTTTCTTTGTCACCTATATACTTGAGTATTTTTATGCGAGTA